CAGTATCTCAGAACTTTTGACATGTACCAACTTTATAGAAGTTTATATCTGAGGTGATATTTCCTTTGTTTTAGCATATAGTGATTTCTATTGTCATGCCATGATGATAACATATGAAGGGTTTTTTAGTTAAACCACTGTAAGCATTTCTGTTAGCATCAGCATCTGTTGGTTCAGAATATTTGTTATAATTGTTTCATCAGTGCTGCTGAACTTTAGCAATCGTCCTCATGTGTTTACTTTATTTGTGTGTTTTTAGAGAAATTTTGTATATTGCCTTCTCGTGGTTTCGCCAATTATAGTGAACTATACTATGCAAATGACTTATAGCATTCAGGGACTCAATCAGAAAACATTTCAAGGGTTTGGGAATTTGTAACTAGTGCATCTATCTTTCTCAGGTTTCTAACATGGACGGTAGAAGGTTCGTTCGCAGTATTTATGCCAGTCAGCGGGCTTATAATATTACTCAAGTGGTCATGAATTTGCCAAAAGATGCTGCAGAGTTTCTTGGTTCGTTTCTTATTTTCTTTCAAAATTTTAATCTCAAGTATTTCAGGCATTTTGAATTAATAATTATCCTCCTCCTCATCTTAGTTAGATTGATGAAGTGGACTTGTCCACAGGTTCATTATTGAATGGGAAAAAAAGAAGAAAAGACTCCAGAGTTGGAAAAAAAAGGAAAATACATTTTATCTTACAAAATAGACATCTGAAAAACAAGGTCATCACATGTCATAAGAGTTCCTTTCACAAGAATTCCTGCATTCTATACATTCATCAAATCTTCCTTGGTAGTTGATTTGGTATTTTGTATTGTTATTTATGTTATTCCATGTCAGAGAGTCTTTCATTTGAATGTTTGGACTATAGTTGCAAGCTCTAAAGTGCTATATGAACACAGGTTTTATTGCACGATTTGATATCTATGCTCACATAATACAGATTGTTTAAGAATTTTATCCATCTTCTACATATTCCAATTGATATCGTTAGAGATTTGTCTGTGACTACGATGCATAACAGATGCGAATCCATCTGATGAGAGAGAAATTTCCCTGACAATTTTAACACTGTTATAGGGAAAACATCATCACTGTTTAGTCCACTTCATCATAATATTGAAGCAAAATAGCTCAAGTACTCTTTTCTCTGTGATTTATGTAACAGCCTTTTTGTGTCCTCTTCTAATCATCATGCAAAATAAATAACACCATGATACTTTTTCAGACTGTTTTCGAGGAATCTTTTGTAAGCGACACAAGGATATAGGCTGCACGCTGCCAAAAATCCATGTCTACGGATTCTCCAAGGCTGAAAATCCTGAGTTTGATTTTCACGAGGTCAGTCTGAACTGCTTATAGAAGGAAGTATTCTACAGTACTACATATATTTTTAGTTAAATTTACTTGGGTTTAATTTTCAGCGGATAAACATGGCACTTTATGAGACGGTGAAGGAAGTAGATATGCACCGAGTTAGGCTCGTTGCACCCGGAAAATGGATGTTATGCGCGTCATTTATCCTTCCGCAAACGGCTGCCTTTGCAAAAACTTCCGCAGGCTAACAAGGGACATGTTGCCTACACAATTCATGGGATTTTGCTAAGTTCTCGGTCCATGCAGCCGCATTGCCAGAAACCACAGGTTTCAGGTACCTGAAGGTTATGTGCCTTATATTTAATGATGAATGAGCTTAAGAGCGAGGCTATAAATGTGAAGCTTGACACATGACTGTATACATAAAAATAATTTTTTCCTTCCACCTTGTTATGCATTTTCCTAATAAAAGTTTCAATATTTTTAAATTTTATTTATTAATGAAATTTGTCTGTGCATTGTTTTTTAGTTGAGCATGCTCTTTGTGCAGCAGCAGCAGGCTACTGGAGGCCCTGGGCACTGTGAGGTGGCACCGGCAAAGGAACCTCCGAGTGTGCGTCTTTTCTGATCCATGTAATTAAAAACAAACTTTAGCCCAGCCACTGAAAAAAGCTGATAGCATCCATCACCTGTGTACTGTGGCCCAACTGCCAAAGGTACAGAGGTTCTATTATTTGTGTTTGTTGCCTAATGCTCTCTTTGCTTGTATTAATATCACCTAAATGTCTAATAAATTGGACCATTCATTTTTTTTATTGTTGTTTTGTAAGCATATCTCAGTTGAGATACAAATAATCTTCTCCCTCTCTTTTTCCTTGCCTTTGTTTCTCTTGCTTCTCGGCTTCTATCCTGTTGACTGCAAAAGCCCAGGGTCCACATTTCCAGATTCAGCCAAGGTTCCGTAGTGGAGGCCGTTTCCTCTCCTCTGTTTCTGTCCTTTTCGTTCCTTTCCCCCCTGCATATGTCCTAATTTCCTACACTATAATGTTTTTGTTTTTTTCAGCGATAGAAAAAAACAAGAGAGCTGGTCCCCTCCCTCGCCCTTTACTGCACTGGAAGTAAACAATGCCTGGTACCTCGAATTGACGCGTATACCCCTAAGCGTTCGTGTTCTGTAGGCTCGTTGCTTGTGGGTTTGGTAGGGGCAGAGTTGGGAGCGGGGAAGATCTGTATGTACGCGGCACGTCCCTTTCTCTAGGGTTCTTGCTCCGCGTAAAACTGCAGTGGAGCACAAAAAGGAGCTGTAGCAGGAGTTGGGTGTGTCTGTGGGGCCCAGAACGCTTGAGCCCACTTTTACCTCCCCCCTCGTCCTTTCGTAACGTTCCTATTCTAAGCATGGCACTGTCATAGTAGCTAGATCTAAGAATCCACCGGGTCTGCCCTCATGAGGTAACCCTAAATTAGAAATAAAAATAAAAAAAGAATTCTTAACTTTTCTCGACCAGAAAGAAAAGAAGAGAGAAATAAAAGCAAAAACTTATTACTTTCTAATCCTTATGTTATACATCATTTGCTTTTAATACTTTTTAAACGAAGAAGACGCCATACAGGATTAAAATTAATTGATTGGCAAAAATGATTAAAATAAAAAAAATTTGAATGGACGAGTAGGATGATACAAACTTTCGATAAATGGTCTAGATGTTGATGCTTATGAATTAAGCTTTTATGAACAATATTACCATGCTTAAAAATAGGCACGGCTAATGCAGCAGCCGCCATTGCCCGTACAGAAATCGTCACTTTTTCCCTCTCTCGGTTTAAGCACCATTACTGAGAAATAAAGCGGTCCCCTCTATCCCACTTACCTCTATTGATACACGTTAAATGCCTACGTGGACGCCTGCCATTGGGCTAGGAAGTATCACAGGTAATGTCTAAGCCTAAAGGAAAATGATAGGGGCACATCTCCAACCACACCTTCAACCACACCCTCTCTCTCATTTGCTACAGTACATTAGGCCCCACATGAGATTTTAAAAATTTAAAATCTCATGTGGGGCCCAATATACTGTAGCAAATGAGAGAGAGGGTGTGGTTGGAGGTGTGGTTGGGGGTGTGCCCCTAGTACCACTCAAGCCTAAATAAGGTAGAATGGGGGGTTGTGGGGGGATCATTTATTAGTTAATTAAGATAAGAGTACACTTACATTAGTATCGTATCTAGTCCTATACATTGGTATCTGCACACAAGGAATCTATTGGGTCTCATTCTAACCAACTGCAAGTCCCCCCTCCTTTCCTAAAGTAACCCCCATCTAATCATAACAATATCTTCCTAAACTAGAGGTTTATATTTCCCTTTAAGGTAACCCATCATGCTCATGTCTCCACCTCAACATCAGCTGCCTCTGCTTTGTACATGAGCCTATAATCCTACTGGTCAAATGACTAGTTTCTCTCGTTCCTTGGGGGTCCAAGATACCAGCGAAACAAATGATAATCATTTTCCAGATTAGCAAGGATGATGGACACGCTAGGATACTATCAACAAAACATTGCTTTATTCCTTTGAAAAAAAATTGCTTTCTTGCATTTAAAAAAAAATGAAGTTCTGTTTTCACCAAATTTATTGTCGTAGTGCTTAAAAAATTGCTATTCCTATAATTATTCTGTGGGTGGTAATTCAGAGAATTAGAAAACATAATTAAAACATGTTTTAGAACGTTGATGCTATTAGAAAGCTTACTATCACTGGGGAAAGGTCTTTTTGCACTTTGGTACTGGAGCGAATACAAGGAAAATGGCAGAAAAACTTTTTGAGCGCCCAGCGGTCGACCATAATGGCATGTGCGGTTGACCGGAAACGTGCAGGAGACCTGGGGAGGTCTCTGGACTTTTGACGGTCGACCGCAGTGTCAAGTGCGGTCGACCGACCAAATCCTGTAGAGATTTCTGCTTTCTGTCGTTGGATCCGGTCGACCGCACGTGTCTCTACGGTCGACCGCGAGTCGGGCTGAGCCTAAGTTTCAGTTTCTTGTTCGCTTTGGGTCTGTGTTTTAATATATATTAAAACACGATCTTGTAGGGTTTATAATAAGAGATTTTAGATTGTACTGAACATATTGAGAGAGAGAGAGAACTTGTGAGCAAGTTGAGAGATTTGGTTTAGGGTTTATTTGAGTGATTTTGTGAGATTGTAACCATTTGTACTCTCTTTGATTTAGTAGAATTTCTCAATTCTCTCTCCGTGGACGTAGGCAAATTGCTAAACCACGTATATCTCTGTGTTTGGTTTGATTTGTCGTATTTTGGGTTGAATTTTGCTCGTGTGTGGATTGGTTTTCTTCTCCTGTGGCTCACGGACTCGTTCGGTGCGAGCACGCTTCCGTATAGGCGCGCAACAGTTAGTATCAGAACTCAGATTTCAGATCTAGGGTTTTAGCATTAGGTGGAGGAAGATTCGTCGTGAAAGCTTGGTTCTTGAAGTTCTAGGCTTCGGTGGAGATAGCGTTTGAGGTTGTTGTTGAAGATTTTGCTTTCCTCGTATGGTTAGGAGATCTATTTGGAATCTGCTCTAGGGTTCAATTGGGTAACTTCTAAATTCTAGCAGGTTTGATTTTTCTCTATAATTTGGAGTTTGTGAATATGAGTGAAGAAATTGGTGAAAGCAGTAAGATGGCGGGTACAATTCAAGTTGGTTTTCAAAACACTAAAATTGGTATGGTTAAACATAACGACAAGATTAATTTTGGGTTATGGATGAGTAATGTTCAGGATGCGCTTAATGCTCAGAATTTAGAGGAGACCATCATGGTCCAAGAGAGATCATCTAAATATGAAGAGTCGGTATGAGAAAAGATGAATATGAATGCTTGTGGGGTGATCAGGTCTTGTTTAGAACAGGAGCTAAAATATGATGTGATTGGGGTGACGTCTGCAATGAATATATGGGAAATCCTTAACAACAAGTATCTTACGAAGAGTGTTGAGAACAGATTGTACTTGTTGCGTAAGTTATTCAGATTTCATATGTCCAGGGGCACCTCACTAGCAGTTCATGTGAACAACTACACTAAGTTATTGTCGGACTTGGCGAATATTGATGAGAAGATATCGGATGAGTACAAATCTATTATTTTGTTGGGCTTCTTACCGGATGAGGAGTATGATACCTTTGTGCTTATTTTGTTGAATGAGAGATCTTCTATTAGCTATAGTGAAGTAACCAACGCTTTGACAAACTATGATTTGAGGAGGAAGGACAATGAGACTTCCCGCACTAGTACTTCAGGAGAGGCCTTGACGACGAGAGGTAGAAGCCCATATCCGAGAGGTGGTAATAGAGGCAGGTCAAAATCGAGAGGTCATTATCAGTTAGCGAAGAACCAATATGCATTCTGCAAGGAGCATGAACATTAGAAGAGAGACTGCCCGAAGCTCAAGGAGAAGAATAATGGTAAGAAAAGGGCTAGAAGGCTAATGAGGTGAACGTTGTGAGAGACGATGATTCAGATGATTCGAGCTTTTCTCTATTAATTACTTCGAAGAAAAACCACTTGGATGTATCAGATTGGATGTTTGACTCTGGCGCTACTTATCATGTGACTCCTAGACGAGATTGGTTTTTATCATTTGAGAGACTCGATGAGGGTGTTGTTGTCATGGTAAATGATCAATCATGTGGTATTTATGGGATAGGTGCCGTGAGGATTCAGATGCACAATGGAGTAGTTCATGAATTAAAGGAGGTGAGATTTGTTCCTCAGTTAAAGAAGAATCTTATCTCAGTTGGAACTTTGGAGGCGAACGGATGTGACCTTTGAGGATGATATAGCAAAGGTTACTAAGGGATCTTTGGTGGTGATGAAGGGAGTTTACAGTCGGAACTTATATTATCTGAAAGGGGAGCACCGAGATTGGCCGGGTTGCTTCAGTTATTTTAGAGGCGGACATGGGCAGACTTTGGCACTATAGGTTAGGACACACAGGGAGAGAAGTCACTACAGGCTTTGTGCAAGCATTGGGCTATTGAAGGAAGATAAGAGTGGAAAGATTGAGTTCTGTGAGCACTGTGTTTTTGGAAAGAAGACGAAGGTAAAGTTCAGGACTGCCATTCATAGGACGAGGGGCATCCTGGATTACGTGCACACAGATGTTTGGGGTCCCACCGAGACTGCATCACTTGGTGATCGACATTGGTTCGTCACGTTCGTTGATGACTATTCTAGGCATTGTTGGGTGTACACCATGACGAAGAAGAGTGAAGTCCTAGATATATTTGTGGAGTGAAAGAAGAGGTTGGAACTGCAGGCTAGGAGAAAGATCAAGACATTACGATCCGACAACGATGGTGAGTACACATCAGACCCCTTTCAGCAGCTATGTCGAGACGAGGACACAGAGAAATACTTCACAGTTAATCATACACCATAGCATAATAGGGTGGTAGAGAGGTAAAATCAGTCTTTGCTGGAGAAGATCCGATATTTGTTGGTGCATAGTAGTTTGGAGAAGATCTTTTGGGCTAAGGCACTTTTATATGCGAGGCACCTCATTAATAGACTACCTTCATCTGTGATTGATGGGAACTCCCCTATGGAGATATGGTCGAGAGAGTCAGCACACGACTATGACCAGCTCAAGGTATTTGGGTGCCCTGCATACTATCATGTTAAAGTGATAAGTTAGAACATCGAGCTAGGAAGGTCATATTTGTATGATTCAAGCGTGGTGTTAAGGGATACAAGGTATATGATCTAGTTGATAGGAAGATTGTGCTGGGTAGAGACGTCATATTCGATGAGGCTTCTA